TGAGCGGGACAGCGTGGAGCGCGCGCCGCACCGGCCGGCGCAAACGCAAGCGGGGGCGGGGCCTCGTCGGGGGCGGGGCCTGGAGGGCGGGGCCCACATCGGCCCGGGCAGGGGTGGGTCTCGGGAGGGCGTGGCCTCTGGAAGGGGCGGGACCACGATAGGAGGCGGGGCTACGCGCTGGGGGCGGGGCCGGCCTCAAGAGGGCCAGGGACAGGTCAGTCTGGCCTTCGGGATCACGATCGGCCCCCTCCCCTCTTCTAAGGGCCATGCTTGCCCAGAGGAAGCCAACACACAGCCTAGCTCTGTGTCCATCCTGTGCTCCACACTGAGGTCACACCCACACTCACACCATGCAGTGACCGGGCCTCAAGCAGACCCCAGACCCCTTCATCCACCCAGAAAAGGCTGTGCCCACAGAGGTCCCGAGACTCCTTCACTGGGGTGCAGACTCTGCGAGGTTCTCTCCAAGACTGGGCAAAGGCCTTCAGACAGGGGTGGGTGTGGGGGGTCTGGCCAGGAGCTGCACCCACGAGGCCGGCCTGGCCGGGCATGCTGACCCCGTGTCTGGACTGCGGTTGAAGGGGTGAGGCCCCTCCCGGGGCTGAGCGCAGCCTGCCACTGCTGCTGGCCCCACAGGGGGAGGGCAGGGCCTTGTGCTTCCTGGGCTGTGGGGTGGCACTTACAGGCTCCTCCCAGAGCCTCCCTCCATGAGATGAGGATTATTCCCAGCTGAGGAAACTGAGGCTCACAGGATGAAATGACCTTGCCCAAGGTCCTGCAATCCTCACAGAGCCCTGCCCACCCCCAGCTTCTGGGGTGCCTGCAAGGTTCTCCTGCCCACTCCTTAGGACCAGGGGACAGGAATGGCCCTAGGGTCTGGGGGACCCACACAGAATGCAAGGGAACCTTAGCCAGATAGGGTGGCACAGGCCTATAATCTCTCAGGAGGCTGAGGCAAGAGGTTTGCCACACATTTGAGGTCAGCTTGGCTACAATGAGTTCAAAGCCTGAACTACACAGTGCAAGCTTGTCTCACAAAACCAAAAACCAAAAATCAAACAAAATCCAGACATACACAGTGAGTTTAAGGCCAATCTGAACTACACATGGAGACTCTATCTCAAAAAGGAAAAAAAACAAAAATTCTCTGTGGTATGGTGGCACACGCCTGGAATCACAGCACTTGGGAGGCTGAGGCAGGAGGATCACTGGAAGTTCAAAGCCAGCCTAGACTAATAGAGAGACCCTGTCTCAAACAAAACAGAACAACAAAAGACCAAAACCAAAACCGAAAGAAGAATGCCAAACAGGCATGTAAGGAATCATCCTTCAGAGCAAGCTGACCAGCATTTCCTGAGCATCTACGATGTGTCAGACATTATTACCTTGCTGTAGGAGGCCCAGCCATAAACAGAGGGCCCAAGAGCCCTCCACCAAACCTGTCACCCCAGACTGACAGCCATGTGTACCACCGTGAGCTGACAGCCAGGAAGGGCCTGGTTCCCCAGGTCCTCTGGATCCCAGGCGGGCCCAGGCTGGGGACGACAGAGGAGGCAACTGCCAGTGTCTGAGCTGAAAGGATGAGGCATTCCTGGGGCCCTAGGGGCCTGGGGGCGGGGACCCCGGGTGGCCTCAGCTTCTGTCAGTAAAGCAGGATCAACGTGCTGGCCCCGACAGACATGTCCATGCTGTATAAACTGTCTTGCATCAGACACTGCGAGGAACCTCCACTCAAGGGGTCGAAAAGGAGCCTTCTTGGACGCTCGCAGACACTCGCAGTCACATCTGCTCACGTGTGGATGGACAGAATAACAACAGTGGGTTCAAATCCCAAACCAGTTTTCATAGTTTGACAAGGATGTCCTGCCTCAGCCTCATAAAAAAATTACACAAAAGTACCCAAGAATCACTGAACTGTCTTTGAAAAGATACGACTATGACAATTTAGTGTCACCAGGGAGGTTGGGGGGTGGATCACAAGCAGCAGCAGCTCCCCCTGGCCCAAAATAGGGCTATGTAGAACAAGCATGGTGGCACACACCTGTAACCCCAGCACTCAGGAGGCTGAGGCAGGAGGACTGCCAGGAATTAGAGGACAGCCTAAACTACATGGAGATTCTGTTTTGAAAAACCACACCCAAACTAAACAAAATAAGGCTCTGTCCCAGGGCGGTGATTCTATGAGACCTGTGGATCCCTCCTCTTTGTCCTTCAATGGTACCTGGGTCAACCCTGGTGACCTCTCCCTCCTTAGACCTCCTGACTCAGTTTGTTCCTCCCAACCCTCCAGCTGCTGGCTTCTCTGGCCTGGACCACCGACCCCTGCTGGCCAAACAGGTAGCCTCACAAGCCCTCCCCTTGTGGTGGCCCGAGCTGCCCTGGCACCCATGTGCTCCCTGCGTCCACCAGCACTGAGGAGCCCAGCAGCCCAATCCTTGAAGGGGTCTTGTCTCGGACACTTCCTCTGCTGCTAGGACATGACACCTGATGCACCCACGGAGTAACAGGGAGAGGTTTATTTTGGCTCACATTTTAGTCCCCAGATGGCTAGTTCCAAAGCAGGACGGCATGGCAGAGGAGAGCTGCTCACGGCACCGTGGACAGGAAGCAGACAGTGAAGGGAGGAGCTGGGAGTGGAGCTAAAACCCTGCAGGCCACGCCCTCAGGGACCCTCAGCCTCCTTGCAGCGAATCAGCTGTAAGCTCCCAAATCCAATGTGCGGGGACATTTATACATAAATCATAACATTCTGCCTGTGGCCCCTGAGAGATTCAGGTGCACCTCTTCATGCAAAATGCATTTAGTCCATCTGCAAGAGTTGCCAAAGTCCTAACAGTTTCAGCACTGCTGAAAAGTCCAAGTCCCAACTCTCCTCTGAGGTTTAAGGCAAACTCTTAGCTGTGAGCCCCTGTAAAAATTCAGAAGTTAAACACTGCCAGCATTCAATGGCACAGGGTAAACATTCCCATTTCAAAAGAGAAGAACAGCAACAAATGGGAAAAAAACCAGACCAAAACCCAGCAGGATAAACGTTAAATCTTAGTACTGGGGAGCAAGTTGCGACAAGGAGATGTGAATTCCAAAGGGCTTGGGTGGCCCTGACCCTACGGCATTGCTGGTGGTTGTAGCCCTCATGGCCTCTCTCTTGGGCTGGCTTTGCTCAATCCTTGTGGCTTTCCTCAGATGGCATGTTCCTGATTTCTCCAGCTTCCTGCGATCGCCACTGCACCGCTGGCTGAATTCACTGCCCTCTCAGGGGCACACTGCCTGGCCTCTGAGGCCTTCTCCTGAAATCTGGGTGGAAGCCTCCCAGTTGTGACTCTTGTATTCTTTATGCCTGTAAAACCAGTACCACGTGGATGATGTCAATGTCTGCCACCGGCTGGAGCAGTATCCAGGACTCCTTGAATCAGGGCTGCAGAGGCGTCTGAGTGCCTGGCTGACTGAGCACTGTGAGCTGAATTCCCTAGGTGGAACTTCTAGAGCAAGGTGCCCTGGGGCTCTCTTCTCAAAGCCAAGTCTTTTACAACTGAAACTCCCAGGCTGTGAAGGATGTGGTCTAGCTGGTTGCTGTGATGCACTCGGGCCATTTTTCTGCTGTAAAGTACTTGGTTTCTTTTTACTGCTAATCTTTTCTGCAGCCAAGCTCTCTTCTGTTCTGACTGTGCAGGCACTTCTTCTCTGGGGAAATGGAAAACTTTTCCAATAGACTTTTTGCTCAATTTTCAGTATAAGCCTGACAAAAAGAAGCAAACCACACCCATACTACAGCATGAACATTGGTCTGCTTTGACATTTCCTCCTCCAGATTAATTAGCCTGCCACCTTTAACCTCCGTCTCCCACAAAGTCTCAGGATGTGAACAAAATGTAGACAAATTTTACATCAGAGCATAACATCAGAGCCTGGAATCCAACTGCCAATGGAGTCCTTCCCAGTGGAAACCTCCTGAGCGTGGTCTCTTCTGTCTGTCTGTCTGTCTGTCTGTCTCAGTATTCTGTTCTTCCAAGTTCCAACCAGAACCTCCTGTCATGCTTGGATCACAGCACTCTAGGGCTGCTTCTCCAAACCATTTCTTTTTTTTTTCTTTTTTCTTTTCTGTCTTTCTGAGACAGGGTCTCACTATGCAGTTCAGGCTGGCCTTCAGCTCACTCTGTAGCCCAGGCTGGTCTCAAACTTGCAACGATCCTCCTGCCTCAGCCTCCCGAGTGCTGGGATTACAGGCGTGGGCCACCACGCTTGGCACTCCAAACCATTTCAAACTCCTCCTGAGAACCAGTTCCAAAGGCTTGCAAACCCCGCGGTCAGGTAGGTAGTGTTACAGCAATGACCCCATTTCTCCAGTACCAAAATTCTGTCTTAGTCACCTCCGTCATGTGGGAAAACAATACCCGACACCCCTGGGAGAGGTTTCTCTTGGCTCACAATTCAGTCCTCTTTTTTTTTTTTTTTTTCAATTCAGTCCTCTTGTGGTTGGCTGGATCCAAGGCAGGATGGCATGGAAGAGGGGCATGGCGGGGGAGCACTGCTTACATCATGGTGGGTAGGAAGCACAGCTCGGAAAAGAGGAGCTGGGAAGCAAGGGATGCTTCTAGGTCACACCCACAGCAACTGCCTCTTCTGGCCAGCCCCCACCTCTTAGCAGCAAGTCAGCTAGGATCCCTCTCTGGCCCCCCGATGTCCTCTCCCGATTTTCTGTCTTCCTTTTCCCCAGGTACGGGCGGCCC